CGGGTATTGACGAGGAGTTGTCTGTGTATGTCTGTGTATGCGCCTGTCACGGTTTTTCAACTCAAGGCCTACAAAAGCTGTAGGGTTAAAACTTTGGAAACTTAATCTACATACAAGTACGGCCTCCAACCCCCGAAATGAGTGGTCTTACTCGCGTGGTATCTACGTACGGGTCCGTGAAAGTTTTTTGCGGGTAAGTCGCTAACTCGGGAACCTGAGAAACTAGAAGATTGGAACTTTAAGGGGATGTTCCTCGTCCAAGTAGGTATTAATGAGCTCAAATCCAGACACCGGGTATGCGGGATACCCACGTAAGGGCCTGTGAAAATTTTTTTCGAGTAATTTTCTAGCTCGGGAGCCAGAAAAGCTAGAAAGCTGAAATTTTAAGTGGGTTTTTTCTGACATTTCTGACAGTCTTAATTTGTTTAGCTAGAAGCATTTGCCGGAAAATCGGTGCCGGTAGCGACAAAAACTGCGGGGAACTATGCAAAAAACGCATCTTCGCACTGGAAGCCTGTACGTGGGCCAATTATTTTATTTTTATGCTCAATTTTGCGGTGTTTGGTGGATTTTCTTTTATAGTCTTGACCAACTTTTCTTTAAATAATTTTAAATAGTCAGGGCGAATAAGATCAAGTTTTTTACTTGTTCCAAAACACACCGTTTTATAAAGATCAAAAGTGGATTTTTAGCCTTTTTTTTTTCGGTTTTCCGGATATACTACTGCAAAAAGCCATTCGGAAAAGCTAAATATTTTCTGTTTCAGGTTCATGAACCAGTGGAAATCAATGTGCGTGTACTGACAAGCGGTTATTGGCCAACACAATCCGCTCCGGACTGTGTCCTTCCAGCAGCTGCCGCTCAGGCATTCGAGAGTTTCAGAGCGTTCTACCTAAGCAAACATAATGGCCGTAAAATCTCACTGAATCCAATGCTTGGTCATGCTGATGTGAAAGCTGTTTTTTACAATACGTGTGTAAATCCCGAAGAACTGAGCCAACAGGTAACCATCATTATTTATTTGAGCTTCTGCACCTTCTTCTTCGAGCAGGGGACAATACCGTAATGTTAAACTTAAAATATACCTAAACTTTAAGCCTAAACTGCCAAGTTGTTCTGTCTTGAACTTGCATACCTTCAGCTAAACTTTAAGCCTAAACTGCCTCAGAAGTTATCAATGGTAAAATTGTAAAAAGCATTGGGGGTGGAGGTTCAAACCATCGGCTTTGCTGTGAACTTGGTCACTGTGTAATTCGGTAAGTTATCGCATCAGATCTGTCGACATACAAGTAGAAAAACAAAAAAAAATTCTTTTTTTCAGGAATCTGATCTTGCTGGACCATCGATGGTTCCTCGTGTTAAAGAGGAGCATAAGATACTGACAGTGAGCACCTATCAAATGTGTATTTTGCTTAGGTTCAATACCAAAGCCAAAATT